TCAATGGGTTTCTGTTTCGAACGACTCACTGCTTTCGACATCTGTATCTCCAAACAAGACACTGCTATCAATGGATTTAATTCCAAACGAGACACTGCCATCAATGGATTTAGCCCCAAAGGAGACACTGCTACTAATGGATTCAGCCCCAAATTAGACACTGCGATCACTGGATTCATCTCCAAACGAGACACTGCTATCAATGGATTTAGTTTCGAACGATTCACTGCTTTCGAGAACTGTATTTCCAACCGAGACACTGCTATCAATGAAACACATGCGCACAAGGACCTGCAGGAACATTTTTCTACATCGCGGAGGCTACAGTCCACAGCGCGTTGATGAGCACCGCTCACAGCATGCTGAGCAGCAACGCTGTCACAGTGACGAAACAGTGAAGAATGCAGGTGGCTAAGAAGCACCGCCGTGCTCAGAGCCAAGATGCAACCACATCTCCCTGCCCTGCAACTCGAAGAGGGAACGCCTGTGCACCGCATGAACGTGCAACTTGCTGCACTAAGACCTCAGCATGCTGAGGAGCAACGCTGGCACGGAGGTCCCTCACGCGGCGTCTCGCCCACACACTACACATTCACAACGGATCTCCCTCGATAGCTGAATGGGCCGGACATCCAAGCATTTCAGCGGAGCGGCGATTGTGCGCCAAAGCGCTGACACCAGAAGTGGTGATCTTCGCGCAATCCCGCAATTTCAAGATCGATAAATTAGAGCTGCGATGCACAAGGGATTGTGCCGCTGCATCAGTCAGCTGACAGCACAAGCTTGCATCTAGCTCTTCCAGCGATGGGCAACCGATAGCCACTGCTCGTATGGCTGCGTCGGTCAGAGACTCCAGCCCGCACAGCTCAAGGATTTCAATGCGCGGGCACTGCTGCGCAAGGGCACAGATGGCGGTGTCGATAACTTTTGGCCTCGGCAGACGGCTTGTGCATGGCGAGGAGCTCCAGATGATCAATGAACGCAACCGTGGACAACCCTGCGCAACTGCGAGATTGGCACATTCGTCCACGGTCAATTCTTATTCGGGCGCACCTTTGCGCCACCGCTTGCATGGCAACATCACCAATGCCACTATCTTGGACGTCGAGGCTCTCCAGGAGAGGACAGGCTTGACTCACAATTTGCAGCGCGCCATCATTGATGTCGTTGCCCCCAAGGCTTATTCGCAACAATTAAGGGCAAGCTCGTGCAATTGCTTTGACAGCAGAATGTAGGCTCCTTCCATCGAAGAGAGCGCTTTCCACGAATTCAGTCAGATTAGGGCAAGCCTTGGCTAGCAGCGCCAACTTCGTAGATGTGGGAGCATGAATCTTACCGTCTTCTGACTCATGATTGAAACTCAAGCTGCGCACTGCGCTCGGACTGTCGTTCATACTTCTGCTGCGCAAGCAAAGCAAAGTTCATCGTCGCCCACGCCATTGACGGCGACTACATCTGCACAATGAATTTCTATGAGCTCCCAGAGGGCATCCGATATCTGCCCCTTGCGAGCAGCGATTCTCTGCGCCAGCCGGCGATCGCGACGCCGAGGCTCGGTAGTCGTTTTTCTTGTTTTTAATGGCGCGGGAGGCGCCCGAAGCACAACGCATCTTTCAATAGCTTTTCCACCGCAGGCCCCTGCTGCCCGACGTCGTCCCACAACTTGGACCAGCACAGGATTTCTCTGCGACGCTTGGGATAATAGCCGAGCTCTTTAGCTGCCTGTATAAGAGCAGTGCTTTTTTTGCGCGCAGTGCTGCGGGGTCTACTCCTGGAAGCAAATACTCAGGGCCACTGGCCTCCGCGACGAGCTGCTCGTCGTCAGCAGGCTGAGAAGCACCGCCAAGGGCCCGCAATTCATGCAGCACGTCTTTGGGGATGCTGCCCCGGTGGACTGAGAGACGCTTAGCCAAGTTGTTGTCGGCCCGCTCTCCTTCGGATGTTATTTTGTTTTGCTTTGGTATCCGGCCAAGCTCCCGAATCGCATGCACGACCTCTTGCACGGCGCGCGACCCCGAGGGCAAAGCACCGTCAAGGGCCAGCAATTCCTGCAAAACGTCTTTGGGGATGCTGCCGCAATGGTCCGAGAAACGTTTGGCCAACTTGTTTTCGGCCCGTTCTTGTTCGGTCGTTCCTTCCTTTCGCTTCGGTGTCCGGCCGGACTGCTCCACGTCCTCGACGAGCGTTTGCAGAGGACCGCTCAATGCAGCTCGCTGAGGAGCGTCGCCGTTCAATGCAGCAGGCTGAGGCGCATCGCTGTTCAACGCAGCAGGCTGAGGGGCACCGCTGTTCAACGCAGCAGGCTGAGGAGCACCGCCGCTAGACTGAGAACGACCAGCATGTCCTGGCATTAAGGCGCGCAGTAGGCGCTGCGCAGTTCCTTGGAAAGGAAATCTTCGAAAGCAGGGCTCTAGCCAAGAAGGCTACGGGGGGGTGATGATGATGATGATGATGATGATGATGAGGATAGTAGCAGCAGCAGCAGCACCAGTAGCAGCAGCAGTTGCATGCGTCTGCGACTGGTTGCACAGGGAGCCGTAGAGGGGGCCGCACACGGAGCCGCACAGGGAGCCAGTCACAGGACAGTCACAGGCCCAAGGCACAGGCGACCAGTCACGTATATGTATATGTGTACGTGCATGTACATCTATATGTATATGATATGTTCAGTCTGCCTTCAGCCTCGGCCTCAGCCTCAGCCTGCCTCAGCCTCAGCCTGCATCAGCCTCAGCCTCAGCCTGCCTCAGCATCAGCCTGCCTCAGCGTCTGCCTCAGCCTCAGCCTCAGCCTGCCTCAGCCTCAGCCTGCCTCAGCATCAGCCTGCCTCAGCCTCAGCCTCAGCCTCAGCCTCAGCCTGCCGCAGCCTGAGCCTCAGCCTCAGCCTCAGCCTGCCTCAGCCCCAGCCTGCCTTAGCCTCAGCCTCAGCCTGCCTCAGCATCAGCTTGCCTCAGCCTCAGCCTCAGCCTGCCTCAGCCTCAGCCTCAACCTGCTTCAGCCTGAGCCTCAGTCTGCCTTTAGCCTCAGCCTCAGCCTCAGCCTGCCTCAGCCTCAGCCTGCCTCAGCCTCAGCTTCAGCTTCAGCCTCGGCCTCAGCCTCAGCCTGCTTCAGCCTCAGCCTGCCTCAGCCTCAGCCTGCCTCAGCCTCAGCCTGCCTCAGCCTCAGCCTCAGCCTGCCTCAGCTTCAGCTGCAGCATTCTCAGCATCAGCATTCAGAATGTGGCCCGGGAGTGCAGTTCTTGGAACTCGAAGAGCACGAAGTGGCTTACAGTTTGTTCCGGGCATTCAAAACGTGGCCCGGGAATGGAGTTCTGGGGACTCGAAGAACCGAAGTGGCCTACAGTTGGTTCCGGGCATTCAAAATGTGGCCCGGGAATTCAGCTTTGGCAGTTCGAAGACGACGAAGTGGCTTAAAGTTGGCTCCGGGCATTCAAAATGTGGCCCGGGAATGGAGTTTTGGGAATTCGAAGAGCACGAAGTGGCCTACAGTTGGCTCCGGGCATTCAAAATGTGGCCCGGGAGTGGAGTTCTGGGGACTCGAAGACAACGAAATGTGCAACTGTTTGTTTACAGCGAGCGAGGCCCTCGTCGGGTTCCGCCCGATCGGCTGTTCCCCGGATCCTGCCCGGACCCCCCTGGGGAGTCGAGATGCTTTCTTTTGGCCCCACTAGAAACCTATCAGTCTTCGCTGTTATGTAAAAATGCAATCCTGGGGCTGCTACCCAGGGTTTCGCAGGGTATCCCCAAACCTGCAAATGGTAAGATATCACCATCGTGTCAGAGCCGCGCGGGAAATGGAGGAGAAGTGTGTTGCATGTGCTCCTTCTCCTCCTCCTCCTCCTCGTCCTCTGGCGCGCGCGGATCTGTGCCGCGGCCGAAGCTCTGTGGTCGTGCGCTTGCGCAGCCCCCCAACCCGAGGGCCAGCACACCGCTCGGAGGTGGCGGGCCCCAGAGCCGAGGGGGGGCGCCGGCCGGGGCCTTTAGACTGCGATACCCGGGACCGCGCCGTGCTCGGGGAGGAACCGGTAGCCGCGCCTCTTGGGCTTCCAGAGCTCCCCAGCCCGCCCGCGTGCCAGCTCCGCCCGACTGGTGGCCCCGCGGGTCGGCAAGTGCGCCGGGCCCACTCGCTGCCAGGGGCGGCGCCCGCAGCACTGCCTGCGTCGCCCGCGTAGGGCTGTCCGGCGCTCCCAGCCCAGCCCAGCCCAGCCCAGCGTTTGCCGCCGTCGCCGCGCCCGCGGGGCCCCGCCCAGCACGGCGCCGCCCGCTCAGCGCGTCGCCGCCTGGCCCGCGTCACAGTCCAGCGCCGCCACAGACCCTGGGCGGGCAGCCCGCGCAGCTCAGCGCAGCCCGGCGGCGCACCAGAGCCGGCGCGCCACTTGGCGTTGGAGCGCGCAGCTGAGCGCCTTGTAGGGCGCCAGCTCCCCTGGTCGCGTGTCCTCGGGGAGCTCTCGCACCTGCGCTAGCAGCCAGTGCCGCGCCTCGGCGCCCAGGTGGCCCGAGGTTTCCGTGGCGAACGCAGTCAAGCGCTCGCCTGGATACCTCTCGAGTTTGTCGCGCTCGGCCCTGCGCGTAGCCTCGCCCGGGTTTCGCGTCGCGGCCTGGAGCGCCGTCTCGTCGCCTGCCGCTGGGTGGCGGACTGTCACGTCCACCTACCAGGGGCCGTCCACTTCCGCGTACTGGAGGTCCAATATGGCGCGTTACAGGACCGGCCGCCCAAGCCTTTCTGCCGGCCGCCGCGCGCCGCTCCTGTCCCAAGCGGGAACTCGTTGTCCGTAAAGGGGCGCGCAGTGGCGCCATCTCCCCGCCAGACTCCTCTTCCTTCTCTTCCTCCTCCTCCTCCTCCTCCTCCTCCTCCTCCTCCTCCTCCTCCTGCTCCTCCTCCTCCTCCTCGGCCCACGTCGCCACCCACCCTCGCGTCCCCTTCCCACTCCCCTCCCCCCTTTGCCGCTGGCGCCCTTCCGCCCCTGAACCCAGTCCCTGGTGGTGCCTCACCGCGGCACCCAGGTCGACAAGGTGTTGGAGGACCTGGCCATCGACGCTTCCGTGCGCCTCGCGATCACCAGGCGGACGGCGGGCTCGCCTCATCGTCGTCCTCACCGTCGACTCCGCCGCCGCCGCCATCGCCCTCGACGCCGGTCGTCGTCGACAACGTCGTCGACGGCGTCGTCGCCTTCGTCCTGATCGTGCTTCTCCGGGCGGCGGGGGGGTCTGGGGGTACCGCCGCCGCCATCGCCGCCGCCCGTCGTCGTCGACAGCGTCGTCGCCTTTTTCCTGCTCGTGTCTCTCTGGGCGGGTGGCGGGGGGTGAGAGCGAGAGGGGTAATCCCTGAACGGAGGAACGGATTGTGACGGCGCCCGAGGGAAACGGAGGGGGGCCAGGGAGGAGGGAGGAGGGCGGAAGAAAAAAAAGGGGAGGAGGGTTCTTGCGCATACAGGACGTGCTGTGGACGGTGCCGCGCGGGTGTGAGCCCCACCTGACCGGATCGCGAGGGTTGTTTGGGACGCTTGTTGTCGTGGGTACGTTCTGGTAGAGGTATTCGCCCGACGAATTCATGTGACCACATGGTGAATTGGAGGACATAAGATTCTTAACCACTCGCGTATCCATACCAGCCAGTCCAGAAATTATGCCTTGGCGACCTGCCTTTCTCAGGGGAGTTTATGAGCAAGCAGTGGACCAAACGGGGGGCAGCCGTCCAGATCGAAACTCGGGATGAGCATGGGCAGACCCAAGAGTCAACCATATTCGCGGACAGTTTCCACGTGGGCGCCCCGTAGCAACTTGATAACGCCATGGTAAGTCGTTTGACACAGTTCGGGCTCTCTTTGGAGCCTTCCCGGGCCTGTGGATGCCATGTTGGACGAACAACCTTGGGGTTCTTCGAGGCCGTCCTGGAGCCTTCATGGACTCTCCTGGGCGATTTTCGAGCCATCGTGAAGCCTCAAAGCATTCGTCGGGAACGGAGACGAGAAGGCACACACACCACAGAAAAAATGTAAGGTGCTCAATGGTGTTGGCCTTTTTTTCTGGTGTATTTTCTGCAGGCTCCAAGGCGGGTTGTAACCGTCCTGGGGCGGTCGTTGGGCCGGCCTCATGGAGGCATGCTGGATGCCAGATTGGGCTATCTTGTGCAGTCTTAGACGCCACTTTGGGTGATCAGGGAGCCATAGTGGACCAGAAACGACCCTCTGACCCCTCGCCCCCCCCCGTCCAGACCCATGGCAAGGTATGGGGGACGGATTAATATCGGTAAACCATTCCCCGAAGGAGAAGGATGGGGTTGGACAAATGATATTCCGAAACCTCCAACGCCCAAGCGACTGGTGGGACTCGTAAAGAACAGCAGTCGAAGGGAAAAAGGGGCATTGATTTTGAAGTAGGGGTTCAGAGGATAAGTGCATATAGCGAGCACAGCGAGCATGCCGCCGGCGTCTGGCTCGAGGCGCCGTCGCCCTATTTGCTTGGGTCGCTGGAGGAAGGATCTTGCGGCCCACGATTGCACCTACAACGAGATACGATCAGTCTTCTGGACGGTGCCACTCATTTCATTTCCAACCTATTTCCACATGGTCCGCATCCTGCGTTTTACTTGGTAGCGGAACTGGCCCCACTAAGTTGTGGTCAGTTCTGTCTATCGCAATACTGCTCAACGGCACGGCTTGGTATGCCGCCAACACCACTACGACGTCAGAGCGTGACTACTGGCAGGCAGGCAGAAATGCCCGCAGCGGAAACGCTATATCTTCTATGGACGATGTCCGTCTGACCCCTCCGAAAAGCGTATACGCCACGGCTCTACGCCACTTCACTCCATACTGCGACGAGCTTGGATAAGGCACCAAAATCCGCTACGCGGAAGCGCATGCCGCGTATTCTTAAGCCAACATGGGGATACGCCCACACAGCGAATCCGCCGACTTACGGCGACAGACGTTCCAGATATGACCAATCACGCGACATACGACCCGACACGGAAGCAGCATTTGAAGTAATTAGAAAGAGCGCGCTCGCAGGGCCGGGAATAAGAAAAGGGGGCCCAAATTAAAGTTACCCCCCCTTCCTTTCGGAAAAGGGGGGGGCGTGCAAAGCTAGCCTTCCCCCCTCCTTCGCTTTGCGTTGTTTAGCTGGGGGGGGGGCGTAGCTGATGTCGATCGAGGACCGGCTTGGATCGCATCGTCGATCGCTCTTTTCCCGGACGCCTTGGTTCAAGGGCCCTAAACGGCGGTGGAGACGCAGGGATGGATGGGGGACAAGGAGAGACGAGACGAGAAGAATGAAGCCGGAGGTGGGACAACTAAATGGTTAAAGGCTGGACGGTTGACAACCTCACCATTATTTTTTCCTGCGCAAGAAATGAAAGGCAGCTAGGAAAGGGAGGGTTCAGTGCAGATCAGGAAGGGGCTGTGTTTGCGGCCTTCTGTGCTTCCGCATTCGCCTGTTTGTTTGCTTTCCAGTTGTCAGAGCGCTTCCTGCGCCTGGAATGGTTCGGGGGCTTGCGCTTCAGGTTCCAGTGCGTGGAAAGATTCAGTTTCGGGCAGTCCGTGGTTTCCGAGAAGAGTCCGTTCCAGTTCTGCGTCTCCCTGTGGGAGGCGGCACGGGAAGCACGATTATTTTCGCGCGTGCTCGGGGTGCTCCCCTTGTCGTTGCCGTCGCAGCTGAGGGTCTCGGCGTCGCTGTCACAGCCAAGAGATGGAGACGCATCGGCCCGCGAAGGGCCTGGCTTTCCCTCTCCCGCCGGAGCCCGAGTTGAAGAAGGAGGCTCTACCTCTCCCAGCGAGCCAGGAGATCTGGAAGAGAGGTCTGGCTCAGAGCTCGCTCTTGCATGGCCCTCTCTGCTTCCTCCAGCCTGATCTGGGCGCGTTTTCTCTCGGATCTCTCGTGGCCCCGGAGTAGGCGGGAAGACATCCAGTGTCCACAAAATCAACATCTCGGCGGTGCAAGACATTATGATGTTTCTGCTCACGACGCGCGCCAGCTTCCCGAAACTGCTTGTCCTGCTCAAGCATATGCGTCAACATGTTGTCCTTCTGCTGCACGTGCACCTTCTGCCTCAAGAGGCTCACCGCCCTCTCTGCTTGCTCTGGCCGATCGAGGTCCTGGCGGCCCTGTGCCCGGCGAAGCGCAGGCACTTCGGACCGAAAGTGCCGGAGGCCCTCTGTGACCAAATGGCGCTCGATCGCATGTAGCCTGCGGGTGGGCAAAGCGGCCTGTTGTTTCTCAACCAGCGGCGTCGGCGTTGTAGGTGGCGGCCAGCGCGGCGAAGGTGCTGGAGGCGGCTGGCGCGGCGGAGGTGCCAGAGCAGACGCCTCGCCCGTGGACCTTGGCGCCGCAGCAGGCCAGGGCAGAGCGCCAATTGCAGCGGTGGCAACCATAGCGATCTCTAGCTTTCCGCTGGCCGGGAGGCCGCAGCACGGCTGTCCGCCTTGAGCCGCAACAGGTTGCGACAAGTAGCACGAAGCAGCGTTTGTCGGTCTCGCGGCCGAACGCAAATCGATCGAACATGACATGATTGGGTCAAGGATGTTCGATGGATTGCCGTTTGGCTCAGTGAGCGGATCCGCGACCATACTGGCATAAGGTACCCAAGACAAAGCATTGGGAGTAATGTTGCTGTTTGCTGTTCTCTGCCAGCCTACGCGCGCCTCTCTGATGCGACTCAGGGATGACATCAAATCTTATTATGTGATGCGCGGCGTGGTGGAGGACGTATTCGTGACAAGAGACCAAGAATTTGTCAGGGAAAGTCCAGCAGGCGGCCCTTCTAGATCCAATGCCTCTTGAATCCTGCTCCGCGTCGCATACTGCGCATCAAGGGCGCTTTCGGCAGCAAGGCTTCCAGTGGCCATCGTGGAGCTAATCGAGCGCGCCTGCTTCTTGGAAGCCCAACGATAAAGATAAGCAGGCTCTATGGGACAAGCACCCTCTGGGATTTGCTTTCCGACGAAAGTGGCCATGCCTCGCTGCGTCGGCTTGCCCTTTGACGAGTCTCCGCAGGTGTGCGCGCAGGTTTTCGAACGATCCATCGGCCCAAAATACAAAACCACATATTCCCCCTGCGTCTTCTTGCGTCTAGCGTTCTTGTTGGCTTCGAGGAGGGCGGGCACCGCTGCAGATTGCACCTTGGGCGCGAGAGAACTACAAGCGAAGGGCAGCTCTGATCTGTGCGCCAGATCTGCTCGCCGAGGGCAGCATGCAGCACGGCGCGCCCCGGCGCCGTCGCGGGGGCGCCGGGGCGTCGGGGGCGGCGCGGCGGCGCGGAAATCATCGCCAGGGGCGCGGCAGCACTTTGTCTGATCTAAAGAAACCCACGGAAGTTCAACCGAGATGTGCAACCCGCAGAGAGTGAGGTCGTCCTTCTGTCGGGTGCCTCGCTGGAGGGTAGCGAGTCGATGACGCCCCGCAATTTTCTTCCCCCTGCCAACAGAGCGTCGTCGACACGGAGCCCGACGCAACCTGCGAGACGGCCGACTTCAAAGTGAAGAAACTTGTTTGATCCGCGGGTCGAGAGCGAGCTTCTTCAGGTCGAAGCTATAAGCGGGCCGCGCACAGCTTTAATTGACAGAGGGAGGAAAACAGGAGGAGGGGCCTCACGTCGAGAGGGCAAAGCCCCGGGATGAGGCGGCGCCGAAGGCGGAGGGCATGCAAATGCACGCCTTGAACAGGAACCCGGAGGCGAAGTACCGAGGGACAAACAGCCGGCGGCGGTGCCGTCAGCGGCGCATCACGCACACCAGCCCCATCAACTGCGGGAGAGGGCGCGCCACGCATCCAGGGTGACGCCCGAGAGGACGAGGAGCACCGCTGGGCCGGAGTGCAACGTTGCGCCACCGAACACGATGCAGGAGAGGCCAAGGCCGCGGTAGTCCAAGGTGCCACGCACAGGAAAAAAGAGCTGCAGTTTGAGGCGCGGCTGCCAGGCCAGGCAAGTAACATGCCGCCCATGACCGACAGGGCGCCGGTGTGCCGCAGGGAGGACGCACGCCCCGCAGTGGCAAATGCGCGGGATTGGGCCGAAGCCGCACGCGTTGCGCCGCCGTTCCGCGGTGCCCAGGGCCGGGCCGAA